GGGGGGGGTCGGGCTCGGGGGAGACAAAAAGGACGGCGAGGGGATCCACAATGGGTGTTGATATTACGGCCGGGAACGGTGACGCGGGGGAGAGGCTGAACTCGAGGACGACGGTGACCGAGGGCGTGAGGGACTGTGAGGGAATCTGCTCGCCAAGGGTTTCAAGGTACACGCACTTGAGGGGGTACACCGTGGGAAAGACACTCAGGGCAGACAGACACCGACATAGAGACTAGGCTACCGACTATACGTTAATATCTATCTAAACGTTTAATTAGCGTACGCACCGCGTACACACCCGGTACGCCCGGCGGCACCTCCGCTCGCCTTTTTTCGCGTGCAATCGATTTGCGGAGGGCGCGTCAAGAAGCACACTCTCGCCATGTTTCGTTTTCTCTTTTTTTTTCTCCCCCCATTTTTTCTCTCTCTTTCTCGGCTTTCTTTTTATTATCGTTTTATTATAATCAGCGGTCGCGCGTCGTAGTCGTGTCTCTTCCTTTCTTTCTTTCTTTCTTTTTTTTTTATAGTAAACGCTATGTAGTCTTTATTACTCAAGCTTATGCCCAAAAATCTACCAGAGGCACTTTGGGTTTATTAGTACCATTTGAAGTCGGCGTGCGCGGGGGAGGGTACCGCACGCCCCGTTTTCTCGTGCGCGGAACAGCGAGCGAGCACGCGCGATTCACGCCTCGTCCTCGAGGGAAACCTTGGTTTGACTAATCGGATCGTTCGGTTGACCCGTTATACCGTCGTTAGTTGTACCATTTTTCTCGCCTCTTTTTTTTTTCTTCTTCCTGTGGCGCGATTATTACCCTGTCTGGCGATGTGTCTTCGCCACCGCGTAGATTCCACCGTCTGTCCCTTCCTTCGACTCTCCACTCCGCCCTCCCCCCCAATTCCTTTTCCAGTAAGCCTACCAACAACTCCGTATCTTTCACCCGCTTCCTTACCTTTCCACCACGGTCTTCCGATGTTTTTTGAGCAATAAATACTTTCTCCACGTATAACTGCACATTGAATTGACGCACAGGACACATGCATACACGCGCATACACGTCGGGCAATCCGTCATTCATTACCAGCCGTTGACGCATTGAACAGAATGTCACGCTAAATGCGCGAGCTCGAAGAAACGTCCGGCATCGAATCCCACTTAGCTTCCTTAATCCTTCGCAGAGGAGTATATAAAATCATACCAGGAATCAGGCACTCCGTAGAATCGGGCTTGTCCGCCCGATTATACAGATAACGTGGTGTGATTTGGCAATTTGTGCGTGAATACGAAGGGATAACAGCTGATCGGACAACTTTTTGTTCATCGACGCGGGCGGCGATCCTTCGGCCAATGTCAACATCCAGACACGAGATTCCCAAGTGGCGTGTGTGTGCCTTATTTTTTTTTTTTTTCGATTACTGTGCAATGCTTCCGGCTCTCGATCAGACACACGTTCATTCGCGCGGCTCACTTTCACACGCACACCAATATGGCTACATCCACAGAGTTAATGTTACGCTTTTAATTAATGATTATCAATTCAATATCAATTCAATATCAATGTATTACAATCAGACAATACTCAACAGTGATCGTTATTCATTATATATTACAATAATTAAGAGTGACAACAACATGACGACGGAGGCGTTGAAGCATTACAAGGGAGAAAGAGAGAGAGAGAGAGAGAAATGGGTAGATAGAGAAAGAGAGATTGAAGTGGTATGTAGATGAATTCTAGGAGGAAGAGCAGGAGAGCTTCGATGGTGGACATGTTACAAGTATAGTATGAGGAGAGAGAAGAGATTAGGGGATAGCGATGGACATGGGGATGAGGGTGGAAGAGGATGGGGGGATTTTATCGATGATTATGGAAATAGCGACGATGACATCGGTGATGGATGCACGACGATAGGAATGAACGATTAAATGGCGAAATGGAACAGTGAGTTCGCGGTGACCAAAGGAGGGGAAGCACGCACACTCAACACAACCGTCACATCGAGCTGGCCTCGCGCGCGGCCATAGTCCATAGATTAATTACTTACTAACTAATACACAGTCTGTCTCCGTTGCGCGGATGACTTTTTATTTTTTTTTTCTCCCTCCCTTCTTCCTTCCCTTCTCGAGCGCCGTGTAAGTATACATAATACACCATATTAAATAACGCACGTGCGCGCGCGGTATGGCGCTGCCGAGTTATGGAGCGTGCGACAGCGCACTTGTAAGCGTGTGAGCGAGTGAGACTTCCTCTCGGATCTTGGTTTTCGTGTGATAAAAGTTTATGGCAAAATAACTCGGCGCGGGACACCCCGTCCTACCTGCCCGCACGCGCGCCTCCTCCATCGGATACTAGATATACGCACACGCACACACAGGCATGCTTGCGCCGGGTATAAAGTGTATATATGTACACATATACATACGACATACCATCCATACATACATACATATACATACACATGTATATATATATATATATATATATATATATATATATATATGTATATAATATATCCATATTGTTTAATTATTTCATCATTATCGATAATTATCATTATCTCTTAAAATTCGTCAGTTCTCAGTAATTCAAAAAATTTCAGCTAGAGTAGCGGTGGATGGAAATGTTTCTTCGTTAAAAATCGCCAGATCACCCAGATCACGGCGCCGACAATCGACCGTATCTCTCTCTTTTTTTTTTCTTTTCCTTTTAAACACATTTACAAATTATTGATCGATATATCACGGCTGATTCCCTCACTCGCGCCCCTCTCTTATACACTATCGTGTGTTTCACATTATTACATTCATTTTTAAAATCACTCGCGGTGCAAACGGGCGTGCGATCACCGCGCGACGAGGGAAACGCTCTCGCCCCCCCCCCCC